TCAAAACTATCAACCCATCCCATATCTCTGTCATTCCTCTTTTACAGAGCCCTGATTATCATTTTCCTGATGCACATCACCAACAAAAAATCACTAGCTTATTTCTCTTTTTACTTCAGGCCTCCTTTCCCCTTTACACTAAAAAGTTAGTAAGGTGAGGGCAAAGACCGTAGAGGTCTTACTCACCTCTATGCTTCAAGCACCTAGAATTACTCATAGTAGTTTCTGCTGAAAGTCTGAATGAATGAATGGAACAAATTGGACAAATGCTTGAAATTAAACTAATTAGAGAGTAAGGGAAGGCTAATATTCAATATAGTATAAATTATAGGACATTCTGACTCAAGTGGTTTTGAATATGCACTTGTCTTAACATTTTCCAAAAGCTATAAAATATATGGATATCTGGCCTCCATCTCACAGCAATTAATTTGTAATATCTGGGGTTGGGGACTTGCCATTGGCATTTTGTAAAGCTCTCTAGATGATTCTAAGAAGCTTTTTTAGACAGGGCTAAAAAAAACACTGGCTAAAAATTTAAAGCGACACTAAATTATATGCCTAAACAATTGACATATAATTTTGGATCTACCGTCAAACAGAGAAATCTAGTTCTAATAATGACCATATAATACAATTCTAAAGAGAAAAGGGGGCCTTTATCTAAGATGAAGCATGGAAGGAGCTCACAATTTGTAACAAAAACCTCTTTCAGGAAAACAAATTCACATTGGTATCTACCTTCCAAGAATACTGAAAACACAACAGGTATTTTATAATGGTGCTAAAATTCAGCTTCATCCTGAAAGGAATTTGTACAATTTCAGCCTCAAGAAAAATTCAGACACTCATGACAGAAACAGGAAAAGGAAATGAAAGACAATAGACACCTGTCTTAAGAAATTAATAAATAATTCTATTTTTCTTCATTTCTATAAATCACTACATTTAACTTTAAGAACCAGCTCAAAGTTTACTTACTTCAAAAACTTTCTCTGCCTAAATAAATCACTGGAGCTGTATTTTATTATACTTGCATACTATTTGTAATTAGAGCCAATAAAGAAATTATGACAAAGAATTAGTTTTGGATGCCTTAAAATTAGAAATAACAATTAGTAACCCAAGCAGAGATATCAGAGGGCACTTGGATATATGTCTGAAGTAAACAGAGGGGGTAGACTGTGGACATAGATGACCTACTGGGTCTTTGACCTATAGAACAGCTCCTCCTCCTTGGGGGTATAATGATGAGTGTAACTTAAATTATCAGTTAAGATTATAGTATATAATGATAGGTAATTCCAAGTTTGGTGATATTCCCAAGGGTCATTAATATTGAACCACACACCTATACATTATGGAATAAATAATCAAAATCCTCATTCTGTTTAGGGGCTTCAGCATTTTGCTAAATACAACAAATATCAAAATCAATGAATTTCAAATTTAAAAACTTTCTAGTACATTCTTAAATGCCAAAGTATTCTATAAAATCTGATGCTAAATTTGGAATTTAAGTGTGAATATTTTAAATCTAATAAGCAAATTTAAAAGAGCAAGTTGAAGACAAATTTTAATATTTATAATAATGAAATTTTTAGAGTACATCCTGATTTTGAGGGTTTATTTTAATCAAAAATAACATAACATTATAATTGCAAATCTCGAGAACATTCAAAATCAAATCAAAGCTATACTTTCAGGACAAGGCACTAAAAATAAAATTTCCAAAATATATAACAATTATAAAATATCTATACATGCAACATAATCAAATCTGTGAAATAATTTATCTGAACTGGACATACACAATTCTTGGCACCAACAAGCAAGAAAACCTCCATATATAGAATTGTTTTCAGAGTAATCTTTAACTGATGGCAAATTCTTCTCTTAAGTTAAATTGATGCTCATTATATTTTCCTAGGAATTCTTATCAAGGTGAACACAATCTGACATATAATTTCAATTGAAATTATATGTTGTTGTTTAGGCATATAATTTAGTGACGCTTTAAATTTTTAGAAACACTGTTATAGTGGCCCATCATACCAATAAAAAAGAATAGGTATACTGAGTCAAACTCAAAAGAGCAAAGATGAAACAGCTTACAAGAAAAATAAAGTGCTAGGACAAGAAAAGATTTTGAAAATAGGAGAACATTGGGCCTTGTAAAAGAAGGGGAAGCGTATATGTAGGCTCAGTCTTTCGAATAAAACCAGAAGTCAGATTTTTTAAATGTTATGTAAAAATATAACTTGGAAAATTAAACTATCATATGCTTTTTCAAGATTGTAGCATATCCACATATAAAATATCTAGAAGATAAATTTTTTAATATTTGTATTTAATTGAAATTATAAAATTAATTTCATTACTAATCAGGGGTCCTCAAAATTTTTAAACAGGGGGCCAGCTCACTGTCCCTCAGACCGTTGGAGGGCCGTTGGAGAGTGCAGCGCACATTCCACACATGCGCACTGTGGGCCCAAGACGAGTTGGCTGCTAAGCAGGACAGGCAGAGGGCGGCAAAAACACTGGAGGGCCGGATAAATGTCCTCGTTGGGCCGCATGTGGCCCGCAAGCGGTAGTTTGAGGACCCCTGCATTACTTCATACATTTGAAATAGTATTTTGATTTTGTTTTGAGAGCAATAATTTGGATTTTTCATTCATATATATGATACACCCACCTGGTTGAAGTGTATTGCCATTTGCAGAAGGGATTGAAAAACCAAAGTTTTCTATATGACTAAAATATTATGATTCTTGGGTAACCAGAGTCCCACACAATACTTTTGATTGCGATTGCTTAATGCCAGAAAAGGCCACACAAAAAAGGAGTTTTCTGATCCAAAGAGAGGCAAAACTAAGAAAGAAAAATGTCAGTAAAGTAAAAGCAATTTGTAGAGCAACTCATCTTCCTTTAAAGCAAATGTGCACCATCTTCTTTCACTATAAAGATATAGTACAACACATACATATATACATTCCTATGGACGCCTTCAGTGATTTCCATTGTTTATTCCATTGTAATACCTGTATTACTAATATTATCATAGATATAACTTTGATTATATTCTAAATATTACTAAGTTTAAAAGATTTATATTAGTAATAAATTACTTATGGTATATACTTCATGGCAGATGCTAAGGTATACATGACCATGACTCACTTGAGAAATACAACTAAAACCTAAAAATCCTCAAAAGGAAGAAGTGATCTATTGAAACAGTGTGTTTATTTAATAATTACTGAGAATCTACTGAGAATGTCAAGAATAATGCTAGATGATTTTAAACTGTCTTTTTAATTTATACTTAGAAAAAAACTCATGGAACCTGATGCTAATTTTGACGATATCTCAGATTCAGTCAATTAATGCCTCAGGAAAAAAAATAAGTCTATTCCTGAATGTCTCTCACCAAATTAATATAATTCCTATAATTTCCTAGACATTCACAGTTGTGTTAACTAACATGACATTTGTCCTTTCCTTAAATTAGTTCATCCTGACTTTGTACCAGTTATTTCACCGTTGAAAACATTATAAATCAATTCTTGGCATTATTTTACCGAGCAGAATTTTATTTCATCCAAGCAATGCTTTCCTTTGGTTGACTAGCTACATTTTAAACCCTGGTTAATGATCCTGTTTTAGTAATTTGCTATTAATAATACTTGCAAAAATGGTCCAGTTTCTACAAAAAAAAAAAAATTTTAACAACACCTTGTTCACATAAGGCTATTTTATGACATTTGTCTTTGTCTGTTTGGGCTCCTATAACAAAATATCATAAATTGGATAGCTTATAAAGACCAGACATTTATTTCTCACAATTCTGGAAGCTGGGAATCCCAAGATGAAGCACAACTAGATTCGGTTTCCAGTGAGGGCTTGCCTCTTCATAGACATCATACTCTGTCCTCACATGGTAGAAGGTCAAACAAGCTCCCTTGGCCCTATTTTATAAAGGTACTAATTCCATTAATAAGGGCTCCACCTTTATGATCTAATCACCTCCCAGAAGGGCCTACCTCCTAATACCATCATCTTGGGGATTAGAAGTTCAGCATATGAATTTTGAGGGGACACAAACATTCAGACCACAGCAATGTTAGCATTGGGTCTAACGTTTTAACTCTAAATTTTACTTTGGTTTTGTTTTGTTTTGTTTTTTGATACAGGGTCTCACTATGTCATCCAGGCTGGAGTGCAGTGGCAGCACAATCATAGCACACTATAACCTCAAACTCCTGGGCTCAAGTGATCCTCCTGCCTCAGCCTCCCAAGTAGCTACAACTAAGGCACATGCCACAACATCTGGCTAATTTTTTTATATTTTGTAGAGATAGGGTCTCGCTATGCTGCCTAGGCTGGTCTCAAACTCCTGGCCTCAGGCTATCCTCCCACCTCAGCCTCCCAAAGTGCTGGAATTATAGGTGTGATACTTGGTATTTTTATAAATTCAATCTGAATGAAATAGTTAACTATTCATATTTAAATTTAATCTGCTTCACTTGTTCAGTATTAGCCTTTATAAAAATGGAAACTCAGAAAAATGTATAGCAACACAATTCAACATACAAGTTAACAGGAGTGAAAAAAATCACTGAGGAGTCTTAGATTTTAAGATAGATTCAAATTGAAATGGGAAAAAATTTACAGTATTAGTAAAATGAGTTGTACCTAAAGTAAATCTTCCACTCTACATACAACACGATGAGTTCAGCTTTCATGTATGTACTAAAAATGACTGTTCTCTAACCCTACAAGTGATATTCCATGTAATAGTCTCTCATAGAGCAATGTTGAACTTCTGCTTAGCTTCAAGAATTTTGTTGAACCTTAAAAATATGCAAGTATCAAGTTAGCCAAAGATGGTACAGTAGGCTACCAGTTACCTCCCTCAGGTCCTAATATAATGTTTAAGTTATACAGTCTCCTCATAATTCCTAGATTACAAATAGGTTTAATTATAGGAGTCTTCTTACCATATCTGGCACTTTAAAAGTTCTTTCTACTCTTGACAGGAAAACAGCATATGTGTTAGTCAAATTAGGTAATTCATCAGACATTCTATCGACCTGTGAATTCCAAAAACATGTTGAAACAAGAGGTTACAAAAAAGTATTTCATTTATTTTTATCAATACAAGTGGCACTATAAATAACAGGTTTGCAATGAAGCTCATCAATATTACTTTGTCATTTGAGATAAATATATATTCATAAAAAAGTAAAATTTTCAAATGCAATATAAAAGTAAAAAGCTTTAAGCAAATGAAATATTAAAATCTAAAAAGAGTAGATTATATGAATATCTAGGTAAGTATGATGGATCTGCATACATTGTTTAAATATATTAGGGGTGAGTTATTAGGTCTACTCTACTGTCAAATGCAGGCATCAATTCTTGTTTTATTTAATAACCAGCAGGTTGTAATCTCAATAATATATGAGTATAAGGGATTAAGACAATAATATGATATTATTTGTTAACACTGTTGTTGATACATGAAATAAAAAATATACATGAAATAAAAAATATATTAGCAATAACTATTTAATTATGTGGCAATTTAGATTAATATATTTTCTAAGCAAAAGGACCCACACTCTTTTAAATATGATAATTGCTCATATGCATTGAAGATGTAAATTAATAGGCTAGAGGAGTCTGGTAATCTAAAATTTTAATTAGCAATTAATTAATTCTTGTGACATTCTGATTTATCATACAATTTATTCATTTGTATTCATTTAATAATTTAAACTGTATAAACAATAGCAACATTGTATTATACAAAAGGGATAAGGATATACTTTCTCATTTTTACATGCTTCACTGTTCTTATTTCAGAATTTGATATTCACAGTTAATATTTCAGAATTTGACACATAGTAGAAATTAATTATATATCTTCCTATGTTCATTTTTTGTAACATTAATTTACTAAAAAGAATACTGTATCTGTCAAACTCTCTGCCTCTTTACCGTAAATGCCAAAGTTGGCACTTGTCCACTATTTTTCTCATGATATTATTCCAACCTAGTCACCTGAAAGAAAACAAGCAGAACTAACTGATGAGCACACGTGTCCACAGAGAGAAGTAAAACTCAGTGTAAATCAAGCAGGGAGGGGGAATGGGCAAAAACCTACCTAACAAGTACAATGAACAGTATCTGAGTGATGAGCACACTCATAACCCTGACTGAAGCCTAGCAAAATTGATGCAGATAACCAAAAATATTTGTACTCCTGTAATATTTTGAAATTATACAAAAGGAAGCAAACAGGTAGCAATCAACATGATGACTCAAACAGCACCTCCCTTTTCAATATTAATATTGGATGTAAATGGCTTTAATTCCCCACTTAAAAGATACAGATTGACAAAATGGATGTAAAACACAACGCAAAACATCTGTTGTCTCCAAGAAAACCATTTAACTCATACAGAGTCGCATAGACTCAAGGTAAAAGAGTGTAAAAAAATATTGCAAGCAAATGAAAACCAAAAGTGAGCAAGAGTAGCTATTCTTATACCACATAAAATTGACTTTAAATTAACAACAAGGAAAAAAGATAAAGTTGTTCATTATATAATGATGAAGGAATCAATTCAATAAGAAAATATAACAATCCTAAATATATATGCACCTAACACCAAAGCTTACAGATTTATAAAATGAATATTGCTAGACCAAAGAAATGAAATAAACAATAACATAATGATAGTAGGAGACTTCAACACTCCACTGACATACCCAGAAAGATCATCAAGGCAGAAAATCAATAAAGAAATACTAGACTTAAACAGGACTCTAGAACAAATGGACCTAACAGAAATTTACAGAACATTCTACCCAAAAATGACAAAATATAAATTCTTCTCATCAGCACATGGAACATTTTCCAAGATAGACCATATGTTAGGCCACAGAACAAGTCTTAGCAATTTTTAAAAATCCCTATCAAACCATGTATCTTCTCAGACAAAAGTAGAATAAAACTAGAAATCACCTCTAAGAGGAATTCTCAAAACTGTACAAAAACATGGGAGCTAAACAACCTGCTGGTGAACAATCTTTGAGACAATCATAAAATCAAGATGGAAATTTTAAAAAATTTCAAATTAAATGACAATTGCACCACAAGACATCAAAATCTCTGAGATATAGCAAAAGTCATGCTAAGAAGGAAGTTCATAGCATTATATGCCTACTACAGAAAGATCACAGATTTACACATAATAACCTAATGGTTTCACACTACCAGGAGCCAAACCTACAGTCACCAGAGGGAAATAAATATCAAACATCAAAGCAGAATTAAACAAATTTGAAACCAAGAAAACAATGCAAAGGATCAAGGGAATGAAAGGGTGGTTCTGTGAAAAGATAAAAAAAAAAAAATGGACAGACTACTAGCTAGATTAAATAAGAAAAGAAGAAAGAGGATTCAAATACACTCAATCAGAAATCAAAATGGAGACATTACCATTGATACCACAGAAATATAATAGATAATCCATAACTACTATGCAAACTTCTACTCACACAAAGTAGAAAAACTAGAGGAAGTGGATTAATTTTTGGAAACACACAACCTCCTAAACTTGAATCAGAAAGAAACAGAAACAGACCAATATCAGGTAGGGAGATTAAATCAGTAATAAAAAAAAAAACTCACAATAAAAAAAGCCCAGGGTTAGAGGCATTCACAGTCAAATTCTATCAGACCTACCAAGGACAATTACTACCTATCCTACTGAAACTTTTCCATAACTTTGAGAAGGAGAGAATGCTTCCTAACTCATTCTACCAAGCTAGTATCACCTTGATACCCAAATCAGGAAAGGACACGATAAAATAAGCAAATGATGGATCAATATCACTCATGAACATAAATGCAAAAATCCTCAACAAAATACTAGCAAATTGAATTCAATGGCACATCCAAAAAAATAATTCACCATAATCAAGTGAGTTTCATCCCAGGGAATGCAAGGATGGTTCAACATATTCATATCAATAAATGTGATTCACCACATAAACAGAATTAAAAATTAAAAACAAAAAACATATGATCATCTCAATAGATGCAGAAAAAGCATTTGATAAAATCCAGAAGCTTTTCATGATAAAAGCCATATATGAATGATAAACCCACAGCAAACAAAATACTGAATGGAGTAAAGTTGAAAGCATTCTCCCTAAGAAATTGAATAAGACAAAGATGCCCACTTTTATCATTTTTATCCAACATAGTACTGGAAGTCTTAGCCAGATCAGTTAGACAAGAGAATGAAATAATGGGCATCCAAACTGGAAAAGTGGAGGTCAAACCATCCCTGTTTGCCAATGATATTATCTTATATCTAGAATATCCCCAAAATTCCTCAAAATTCCTAGAATTAAGAGGACGGGTATATATATACATTGTAAGTGTGATGTGCATTGTCAGGGGGATGGACATGCTTGAAGCTCTGACTCAAGGGGAGAGAGAAGGCAAAAGCAATGTATGTAACCTTGACATTTGTATCCCCATAGTATGCTGAAATAAAAAAATAATAATAAAGAAAATAAATAAATAAAATTTAAAAACAATTTTTTTAATTCCTAGAACTAATAAATTCAGCAAAGTCTCAGGTCACAAAATTAATATGTATAAGTCAGTAGCATTTCTGTATAATAACAGCCAAGCTGAGAATCAAATCAATAACTCAATCCCATTTACAACAGCTGCAATAATTAAATAAATAAAACACCTAGGCATATACATAACCAAAGAGGTGAAAGATCTCTACAAGGAGAGCTACAAAACACTAATGAAAGAAATCACTGACGACACAAACAAATTGAGAAACATCCCATGCTCGCTGATTGGAAGAACCAATATTGTTAAAATATCCATAATGCCCAAAGTAATTCAATGCAATTCTCAACAAAATACCAATACCATTTTTCACAGTTAGAAAAAACAATTCTAAATATCATGTGGAATCAAAGAAGAGCCTGACCAGCCAAACCAATCTTAAGTAAAAAGAAAAAATCTATAGGCATCACATTATCAGGCTTCAAATTATACCACAAGGCTACAGTAACCAAAACAGCATTGTACTGCTATAAAAGATCAATGCAATAGTATAGAGAATCCAGAAGTAAAACCATATGTCTACAACCAAATGATATCCAACAAAACAGAGAAAAACACACACAGGGAAAGGACAACTGATTCAATAAATGGTGCTGGTAAAATGGGAGAGCCACATACAGAAGAATAATCTGGATTCCTATCTCTCACCATGCATAAAAATTAACTCAAGATAGATTAAAGATTAAATATAGGACCTGACACCATAACAATTCTAGAAGAAAACATAGGAAAATTTCTTCTGGACATTGGCCTATGAAAGAATTTATGATGAAAACCCCAAAAGCAAATACAAGAAAACAAAAATAAATAAATGGCACTTAATTAAACTAATAATTTTCTGCACAGAAAAAGTAATCAACATAGAAAATAGATAACCTACAGAATGGGGGAAAATATTCACAACCTATATATCTGACAAAAGACTAATCTCCAGAATCTACAAAGAACTCAAAGAAATATGCAAGAAAAAAACAAATAACCCCATTATAAAATGGGAAAAAGACATGAACAGACATTTTTTGAAAGATGTACAAATGGCCAATAAACATATGAAAAAATGCTCAACATCATTAATCATCAAAGAAATGCAAATTAAAAGCAGGATGAGATACCACCTTACACTGTCAGAATGGACATTATTAATAAGTAAAAAAACAATAGATGTTGTTATGGATGTGGTGAAAATTCAATACTTACATACTGATGTGTACAACCTCTATGGAAAAAAGGATGGAAATTTTTCAAAGAACAAAAAGGAGATTTGCTGTTCAATCCAGCAGTCCTACTTCTGGGGATCTACCCAAAGGAAAAGAATTTATTTTATAAAAATAGACACCTTCCCCTGTATGCTTATCACATCACAATTCATAATTGCAAAGATATGGAACCACTGTGATCTAGCTGAAAAGTAAATCAAGAAGGTAATCCCATTTACGATTGCTATGAAAAAAGAAAATACCCAGGAATAAATATAACCAAAGAGGTGAAAGATCTCTACAAGGAGAACTATGAGGAAACTGAGGAAAGAAACTATACATTGCACATACAAATGGAAAAACATCCCATGATCATGGATTGGTAGAATTAATATTGTAAAAATGGCCATACTGCCCAAAGTGATCTACAGATTTGATACAATCTCTACTAAAATACCAATGTCATTTTTCACATAATTAGAAAAAACAATCTTAAAATTCATAGAGAATCAAAAAGAGCCCAAATAGCCACAGCAATCTTGAGCAAAGAGAACAAAGCTGGAAGCATCACTTGACTTCAAATTAGACTACAAGGCTATATTAACCAAAATAGCATGGTGATGGTATAAAAATAGACACATAGATCAATTGAACCACACAGAGAAGCCAGAAATAAAGCCACATATTTACAGCCAACTGATCTTTGACAAAGTCAACCAGAACACACACTAGGGAAAGGGCATGCTTTTCAATAAAATGCTGCTTAGAAAATCAGATTGCCATATGCAGAATAATAACTTTTGGACCCATATCTCTCACCCTATAAAAAAATCAACTCAATATGAATTAAAGACTTAAGTGCAAGTCCTGAAACTATAAAAATACTAGAAGAAAACTTAGAGAACACTTTGTGCACATTGCTCATGAGTAAGACCTCAAAAGCACAGGTAACAACAACAACAAAAATAAACACATGGGACTTTATTAAACTAAAAAGCTTCTGCACAGCAAAAGAAATAATCAACAGAATGGACATACAACCTCCAGAATGGGAGAAAATATTTCCAAACTATGCATCTAATAGGGGACTAATATCCAGAATTTGTAAGGAATTCAAACAACTCAACAATTGGAGAGAAAAAAACACAAATAATCCCATTAAAAAGTGGGCAAAAGACATAAATAGACATTTTTCAAAAGAATACATACAAATGCCAAGAGGTATATAAAAAAATACTCAGCATTACTAATCATCAGATAAATGCAAATTGAAACCATAGTAAGTTCTCTTACACTAGTTAGAATGGCTATCATTGAAAAGACAAAAAAGTAATAGATATTGGTGAGGATGTGAAGAAAAGAACTCCTATACTCCTAGATGGAATACAAACTAGTACAACCTCTCTGGAAAACAGTATGAAGATCTCTCAAAGAACTAAAAATAGAACTACCAGTAAATCTAGCAATCCCATTCCTGGGTATCTACCCCAAAGAAAAGAAAAGAAATCAATATATGGAAAGGATACAGTATGCTTAACATAGCACTAATCACAACAGCAAAGATAGAGAATCAACCTAAGAAGCCATTAGCAAAGGACTGAATAAAGAAAATATGGTATATATAGACAATGAAATATTATTCAGCCATAAGAAAGAATGAAATCATGTCTTTTGCAGCAACATAGATGGAACTGGAGGCCATTACCTTAAGTGAAACAGCACAGACATGGAATGACAAATACTGCATGTTCTCACAAATAGGAGGTAAATAATGTCTACACATGGACGTAGAGTGTGGAATGATAGACAGTGGAGACTTGGGAGGGTGAAGGAGTGGGGAGGGTTGGATGATGAAAAATTACTTAGTGGTACAATGTACATTATTCGGGAGATGGATACATAAAAGCCCTGACTTTTCCACTTCACAATCTATACATGTAACAAAATTCTACTTATACCCTATAAGTGTGTACTAAAAAAATGGAAAACAAAAATAGGAGTTTACATTAGAAAACAAGCTTCTTTAGGGATGTTTATATTAAAAAGCAAGTCTCTAAAAAATGTTTCAATAAAAATTAGAAACCTGTAAAAAGTCTTGTGTAAATTATAAAAATTAATCCCATAAATACAAATTTTATATATAATAAAACATAGGAGGTTTCATGTATCAGGAATTGATCTTGATTGTATGCCTTATATAACACCAAACCCTTTTCCATATTAGAAAACTTTTCATTTCAAAACTAGTTATGCGTTTTATTCTCCCTTAGTGAAGTGAACCCTGTATTAAACATCTACATTTCTTTCAAATGTTTCTCCTGCCACACAGTTTGAAACTGCATGCCTTAACTATTCTGATTACCCTCCCCTCAACACATCCCTAGTGCACATTTTTTCAAATATTTTGTCATCTCTAGAACTTCAATTTGTCTTTTTTTTTTAATTTCTGGCATATCTCTATCATTTAATATGCTCAATCTTTCTACTTTCCTTAATATATGTAATGTACTTACAATAACTATTTATGTTCTTGTATATTAATTCTACTACCACATGTAATTTATAAGAGAACTCTAAAAGCTTGGTATTCAATATAAAGGATATTATTTCACTGTTAATGTATTACCTGATAATCAGCAGGCCCAGGATGAGTCCAAGCTTCTTTCTGAACCAGGAAGAAAGAACGAGGAAGAGAAGACCCAAAAGCACCTTTCATTTTTTTCTTCAAGCAGATATTTCTAACATTGGCAATTATCGTATTATTCAGGACATTATAAAACGCAGGACCTAAAATTATTTTAAAAATCATATATGTAAGGATAAACATGCTTTTAATTGCTTCTTTTGAACTCAGTTATGTTAAATTAAGTATATTTTTTAGAAAGAACTGTTATACATTACTGGCAGGAATGCAAAATGGTATGGTCACTTTAAAATACAGTTTGTCAAAGTCTTATAAAGTTAAACATATACTTACCATATGACCTAGAAATTCTATTCCTAGGTATTTTCTGAAAAGAAATGACAAGAACCCAAATGTCTACCAGCTGATGAATATATTAACAAAATATAGTATTCCCAAATAATGGAGTATCACTCAGCAATAAAAAGGAAAGATAAACACACAATATGAATGAATCTCTAAAATAGCATGCTAAGTGAAAGAAGGCAATGGTAAAATTCTGAATAATATATGATTCCATTTATATGAATTTCTAGAAAAAGTAAAAATCATAGCATAAGAACAATTGCCTAGTACTTGATGTAGGCAGTGGAGAGTAACTGGATAGGGGTAATAAGGAAACTTTATGAGAGGAAATGCTCCAAAACTTTATTGTAATGGTGGCTGCCTGACTATACACATTTACCAAAACTCATCAAGTTGTACGTTTACATGTATATCAAATTGCACACTCAAAATGAATGATTTTTATTGTGTATAAACTTTGTGTTGATTCACATTCTGGTGTAAATTCTCTTTTCTCATCATAGACAGGAAACAAACAGTTGGCAAAGGGCACTCTGGGTAGCACTAGCCTAAAAGATACTCTGGTTCATTCCAGATCTAAAAGTTATTAATTATTCATACTCCTTATACATACAAGGTTTTTCTCAAAAAGAACACAAACTCTTTCCAATTTTCCAAATATTCCAGTTCTAGTCTATTCCCTAAAAGTCTCTATCAAAATTCAGTTGTGTCAACTCTCAGAAAACCTAAGTGTTAATATGTGTCATTCATGCTGTCTTCATTCTTCCACTGGTAATGTTTAGGAAGAAGATAAACAGAAAGTGTAATAAAAATTATTTTAGCCACCATCTAAGGGTACTTAAAAGACAAGTAACTATATGTCAAATCTATCTCCCTTCTGACACAATAGTACAATATAACACTTTACAGATGAGTTTAAATGTTTGGTAGATAGCAAGGATTCCAGGTCTCCGAAGTACCAAAGTGGGTACTGTTGCTTTGGTGCAATTGCCCCAGCTGGGAAGAAGGCCCCCATCATGGTCCTGCCCCACCCTAATCTCACAAGTGACAGCCATACCTGGGGAGGAGGGAATACCCTACGAATCTGCCAATCAAATTAGTGTGCCAGCTGCAAAACAATGCAAAGCACTCTCTAGCCCACGGGCCAAGCAGCATAGGTACCAGAAAGTCTGGAAATAGACCTAGAACAACCCACATGTGTAGTAATGCAACTCCCAACTGTCCAATTAAAGTGGTTCCATGGTGACATATGAGCCACTAGGGAGGTCCCAATCCAGGTACTATAAAACAAGACAGACTATAACAAGTCCCTTTTTTTGCACCCTTCCTTTTGTTCTTTTCCTGCTTTGACAATGGGTCCAGTTATCATCTGCAGTATATGTATCCTGCTCTGTAAACCTATATCTTGCTCTTGCCCTATAATCCTATCTCTCTTGCCTCAATAAACTTCATTTCTATGTTAGCCTAACACTGGCGTGTCTGGTCATTCTTTAGCCATGAGCATGCTAAGAACCAAAATTTCAGTTTAAAACCTGACGAAAGTACTTAATATTGCATGGTCTCAGGACTAGAGACATCACAGGCATACATCTCAGGTATTACCTTATTAAGCTTCTAACTTAGAAAGACATTCTCATCATGATCCACTCACATTAGAAGTTTTTCACATTCATTTTCCAGTCCTTAAGAGTAGAAATGCCCAGGAACCCCAGATCATAACTGCTAAGGGAAATCTAGAAGGTTTAGTGGTACCTTCTAACAGTAACTTGCTATCATTTTGGAGCTCTACATTAGGTGGTCATATCTGCACTATCCCTAGTTGACAGGCCCAATTCATTACCGTATCCTATGGAAAAAAAAAAAATAGCTCAAGAAAAATGGCTTGAGCTACGTGAGGCATGAGAAATTTATCAGGCCCAGAGAAACATGAGTATGGGACTTCAGTCATGCAGCCCCGCACCCATACTCAGGGGCAACTGTTTAAAGGTATTTTGTTCCTGATTGGCTGCCTCACTCATTATCTCCATGTTGCTGGAGTTTGTGATACAAAGAACAATGCATAGCCAATCAATAGCTTATGTGGTTTTAAGGCAAATTATTGATAAACAACTTAGGAACTGCCTCTTCTTTTCCTTTAAAAACTTACTTGTAACTGCTGCTAATCAGAGTATGTATTAATATTCAGGGCAACCTGAATCTGCCCTTGTGTTGCAGCCCTCAAACTTGGCCCAAATAAACTCTCTACTTACATTAAGTTTTCCTCAGTTTTTTCCTTTAGGTTGACACCCAATAACTACATGGAAAGAGGCCAAATTTCCATGTAGGCCATTCTTACTAATCTTTAAAACGTGAGATTCTGGATTAGATTTTAGAGGTCATTCTTAATTTAACTTGCCCTTTATAAATAAACTAACCTTTTAGTAATTTATACTACTTTATTTGTAATATACTGGACCATCGAACTGAAAGTAAGATCCAATCTTAAAGCAATTAGGTCACTCAATAAATTAATATTTAGAAATAATTTGGATTCCAGATTTAAGATGAGCACTACTGAGCTGGGCTCAACTGGGGCTAGTGCCTAGAACACCTATGCATGACCTCTCAGGAATGGCAGGAAAGGCTAAATAGTTAGCCTTCTACATAGAGGTTCAGGGCTCCAAGACCAAATGTTCAAGAGGCCCAGGTGGATGCTATAAAGCTTATTACTTTGCCTGAGAAGTGCTTGAATATAATTTCCATTGCATGCATTGGCCAAGAAAGCCACCAAGGCGAGCCAAGACTGCAGGGCAAGAGTGAGACTCAACCTCTCTATGGAATGAGTAGCAAGCAACTGTCCCAGGAGTAGAGCACTACCATAACAAAACTCTAAAATTTGTAAGCAACCACTTTTAATTCAGGCAATGGGTCAGAAGCTAGAGCAACCTAAAGGCTTATAAAAAAGGCCTTAAGTATACTGTTGGTGATTACTTGAAGACAGTGAGGAAAACGTTATTAGGGACTGAAGAAACAATAACTTGTGTTATGCAATGGCAGAAATTTTAGCAAAACTGACACTTGAGGTAATGAAGAAAATACTTCATGAATTAGTAGATTCTAACTAAGGAAATTTCCAGGCTGAATTCTGAAGTACCAATTAGCTCTTTGTGTCCATGTGTGAGAAGCTATAGATAGAAAGAAAGAAATTAAAGTGTTCCATTTTCAAGCAGATTTATAGGAAATAAAAAGGACTAGGATTTTCTGGATTTGAAAATAAAATGTTTTCATTCCCACTCTATCCAGACAACAAAAACGTCTCATAGTAAGAAGTGGATTGTGGACAAAGATCATAAGCAGGATTGGGCCATAAGAACATTTGTTAAATTTTCAGAAAGATTTAGGGTACTGGTGTCTCATAGAACCTCTCAATTAATAAAAGAGCCTCTAAGAATCCGAAGGTCTTATATCCTAGATTCCCTTGCCTAAGACAACAGTGCTTCTAAGAATTAAGGGTGTTAATGGCAACTTCAAAGGTAATTCTAAATAGACAAAGGTTTTTCTAAGAAGAAAATGCAGGTGTGGCTTTTATCTAGTGGATTTAATTATAAAGTAATACAATAAGAGGCTCACAAAGTTTTTATAAGAATTGTACCAACTTGGAATTAAAAGGACAGTTACAGTACAAAATGAAAAGTAGCTTACTGATAGCCCAACTTCTATTGGCAGGAAGCAGTCTGAGAAAGCTTCAGCTGCAAATATAGACTGTTTCAAACAGAATAAGAATGACAGATGACTCAGAGTATAGAACCAAGGTAGAATAAGGTAGAATAAAGAACCACAGAAAGTCATTCCCCAAAAGCCTAACTGGACCCTAATCAAGGAAATGGCAACATGTACCTGGCTGCATTTCAAAATTGCTATGGCTCTGTGACTACTACTCTGGGCCTCCAATTTTCCCTGTTTTTGAAGAGGAGTGTCTAGACTGATTATCCTATCTCTCTCCCACCATTGTATGTTGGAGGAACCAACTGCTCTCTTTGGTTCATAGTTCCTCCGATAGAAAATAAACTGTATCTTAAAACCACATTCAAGAATCCTCACCTGTACCTACAGCTGACTTAGATGACAAGATCCAAGACTTTGAGATTATACCGTAACTACATGAAACTTTAGGGTCCTTGAGAAGGAATGGGTGCATGTAGGAAGAATGTAAATATTTTTGACCAGAGAGTAGACAATGTAGTAAATGAAAGATGACCATCAATTCTTTGCTTCCTGTGTCATTGAAAGAAAAGTTTCATGGCCTTCCTTTCAACGTGTGCTACCCTGAGTGACTTGATTAACTCACAGAATGCAGAAGAAGTGATGTCTTCAGAGTTCTGTGGGTGGGTCATGAAAAGTCTTGCAGCATCTTGCCAGGTCTTATGGACCCCTGAGACACCATGTGAAAGTCAGACATCCCTGATGCAGACATGCTGGAGCTATATCTACACTTTTAATGACAGTCTCATCTGAGCCCTGCCTCTAGCCATCGCACAAAATAAGGAGATAAAAAGAGTCTGTTGTTTTAAGCCACTAAATTTGTTACACAGTGATAGATAACCAAAACTATATGTTAGCAACTTTATAAGTTATTGTGAGTCTATATTTTTAGCTCTGCATACTGGAATACTCACTGAAAATACGAGAATATGTGACTGAACATCCATGAAATAAAAGTTTAACGAAAGTGAATGTCATAAATTATATTACTAGTAGCGACCACAGTTAATATATTACATTTGCTCACCCACCAAGAGAAAAATTAGGAAATTTACTGAATAAAGTAAAACAATAGAAAATTATAATTAAGATGCATAACATGTTAAATTGAAATCATATTAAAACTGTATATTATTTTGCTCTGTGTGTGGTACATACTTGATGCCTTAAAAACAATGTTGACTTAAAATGACTCCACCAGCCATAGGACAAAAAAGAAAATGTACACTCTGGTGTATCCACCTTGTGAAGAGCATTAAGTTACATAAAGCTAAAGAGTAGAAATATGCAGATTAATTGCTAACCTGGCATTTCCATTGTCCTGAAGTCCTCTGTGAATCGAGCAGTACTTTGACCAAATGGGATATTTTTCGGTCCTGATATTTTATTCAAGGACATGAAAGCAGTTCGAGATTCATGATATGTGCCCGGAGCTGGGGTGATTGATTTTATAGGTAAGAATCTCTAGTGAAGAACAGGAGAATATGCCAGTGAGAAACTATGGTACATTTTGCTATTTCATGAGTTAAAAGCTGCCTTCTAAGTAATATAAGATCTACAGTTTAATTTATTTCTTAATGGAGTGAAGAAAACGTAAGTGAATTAAGATCTTGTACTCATCAAAACATAAAATATATAGCTTTTAGCAAAATCATCTATATACTAATATAGTAATACATTATGTGCCTTACTAAGGCAAATAGACTTTTAGAAGGAAATAATCTCAACATAAGAGTCTAGATGACAGTGTATGGACAATTTTCACACTTAAAATACCCTTCAAGTTAAGATAATAAGTAAATAACTTTATGATCTAAATAATTTCTTTTATGTAAGCAAAATAAATTAATTCACAAATTTCTTAACGTACTAATATATTCAATTAACTCAACAATATTATTAAATACCTTAAGAAGAATAAAATCTTAGATTCAAGTAGTTTATAAATCCAGTTTAATTTATAAGCTTATTAATATTAAATATGTCTATTTATACAATAAACTTTTAAGAAATACAGCATTTATAATCTTACTTTTTAACTTTTTATTTGAAAATAATTGCAAATTTACAGAAAAGTTGCATGAATAAACATAATACAGAAAACACCTGTATAATCTTTTTTTTTTGTTTACATATAAAAGATCAATTCATTTATTCAGAGACTATTTGTTGAATGCTTATGATATGCCTGGTTAGTGGTGTGCTGATAAATGTTAACAGCCAGCTCTCTGTGAAAAACAAAAAGCTTATTTGTAGTATTTGCTGATTTCTGTGTGAAAAATTCTCCCACCAGCCCATTTCAAACTGCAGAGGACACTCAATGTGTAGCTGGCAGGAGATACACGGTTACACATACAGTGTTTCCACCATGCAGGGTTTTTTTTCGTATTTAATTAACTTATTTTCTGCAATTTGCTCTTTTTTTTAGTTCAGAGTATTATGATGGTCCAAACATTTTGGTTACATTTTATGTCTTTGCCGCACCCTAGCGAGGGTTAGAGGCATGCCCTTCCCCTCTATGATGCTGACCGTGTCCCTTAGTTGTGAACTTACCCCCCTCCCCATTCCCCGGCAACCCTCTAATCCCTGGAGAATATCGCTACCATGTGAGCACCATAGTGTTGACCAGTCAGTACCAATTTGATGGCGAGTACAAGTGGAGCCTATTTTTCCGATCTTGTGATACTTCACTTCGGATAAAGGGCTCAAGCTGAATCCAGGGAAATATAAGAATATTCCATTGTATACATATGCCAAATTTTAATAATCCACTCATGAACTGACAGACACTTGGGTTGTTTCCACATCCTTGCAATAGTGAATTGTGTTGCCATAAACATTCAAGTGCAGATGTCTTTATAACAGAATGTCTTTTGCTCTTTTGGGTAGATGCCTAAGAGTGCTGTTGCTGGATTGAATGGTATTTCTCTTTTTAGCTCTTTGAGGTATTTCCAAATTCTTTTCCAACGAGGTTGCACTAATTTGCAGTCGCACCAGCAGTGTAAGAGTGTTCCTGTCTCTCCATATCCTCACCAGCATTTGTTGTTTGGGGATTTTTTGATAGATGCCAATCTCACTGGGGTTAGGTGATATCTCATTGTGATTTTGATTTGCATTTCTCTAATGATTAGAGATCTTGAGCATTTTGTATATGTTTGCTGGACATTATTCTGTCTTCTTCTGAGAAGTTTCTGTTCATTTTCATTGCCCATTTAGTGATGGGATTGTTTGATTTTTTTTCTTGTTCATTTTTTTAAGTTCTAGATAGATTCTTACCAGCCCTTTATCAGATGTACAGAGAGCAAATATTTTCTCCCATTCTGTAGCCTGTCTATTCACTCTAATGACAGTTTCCTTGGCAGTGCAAACGCTTTTTAATTTGATCAGATCCCATTTATTTATTTTTGTTGCTGCAGTGATTGCTTTGGGGGTCTTCTTCAAAAATTCTTTGCCTAGGCCAACATCTGAAAGGGTCTTCCCAACATCTTCTTCTAGAATTCTTAACACTTGTATAATCTTTACCCAGATTCACCTATCATTATCATGTTCCCTCATTTGCTTTTTTTGTTTTCCAATTCTGTCTCTGTCCCTGTCTGCCTGTCCATCTCTCCCTTTCTCTGTCTTTCTACTGTATATATGCACACACAAATATAATTACTTAATGGAAAGTTACCTATGTCATGACTCTTTATCCCTAAATGCTTCACTATGTATTTATTTTTTAAAAAAGATATTTTCTAACATATTCACAGTATATTTATCAACTTCAATAAATGTATCAATGATATAATACTTTCCCATTTGTATTCCCAATTTGTCAGCTGATCTAATAATGCCTCTATTATACTTGTCACCTTCAGTACATAATGCAATTCAGGATCAGATATTGCTTTTAGTCATCATGTCTCTTTAGTCTCCTTTAATGTAGGAACATTTCCAAAGCCTTCCTTTGTGTTTTGTGACTTTGACATTTTGGAAGAATATCACACCCCCCTTGTGTATAATAGAACCTTTCTTATTTGGGGTTTATCTGATGCTTCCTCATGATTACAACCAGGTTATACATTTATGGACAGAATATAAATAGGTGATGTTGTGGCTTTCTCAGGGTATCATATCTGGAGGCACATGACGTCCTGTCTAATACTCACTCTATATTAAACACTCGACACTCTACTGTAAGCAAGAGCTCTCCCTTCTTCAATTATTTATTTCATTATTTAGCTATCTATCTGTCTATATAAAATTAACCCTTGAACGATACAAGTTTGAACCATGTGAGTCCACTTATATGCAGAATTTCTTCCACCTCTGCCATCTGAGACAGCAAGACCAACCCTTCTTCTTCCCCCTACAACCTACTCCATGTGAAGATGACAAGGATGAAGACCTTTATGTTAATTTACTTACACTTATTAAATAGTAAATAAATTTTCTCTTCCTAGTGATTTTCTTAATAACATTTTCTTTTATCTAGCTTACTTTATTGTAAAAACACAGTATATAACACATACAACATACACAGCATGTATTAATGTATTATTTATGTTATCCATAAGGTTTCCAGTCAATAGTAGCCTATTATTAGTTAAGTTTTGGGTAAGACAAAAGTTATACAAGAATTTTCAAATGCATAGGGGTCAACACCACAATCCCCTCATTATTCAAGTGTCAACTATACTTAGTTATCTATTTATTATCTATATAGACTCATAAATGCAAGTTTTAATAATTTTTATAATTAATTACCAAACTTTCTACAAGGAGGGGGCATTTCACATTGGTTCCTATGTCCCTAAGATATGCTTTCATCATTTTTTTTTTAGAACTTAATTCTTATTTCAGATTCTACAGGTTCTTCTTCCACCTATCCTGGATTCAGTTATTTCTCTGAGGCATCCTGTTCCTCTTAGTAGGAAATGGGATTTGAGATGAAGATCTGGGTACTAGATGTGCTCCTTGATATGGGGTATCTTTTTTTCTTGGCTTATTTAGCAAACAGAGCTAGGAAGTGTGTGTGTGTGTGTGTGTGTGTGTGTGTGTGTGTGTGTACAGTACACAAACACAGATATGCATATACACATACATATATACGTATATATTAAAAATCACGAGTTCACTTCGAAACCATTCCATGAGGTCCTCTCTCACCTTCTCCAACCCATATTTGTATGTACCTTCTTCCACAGTAAAAATGCTGTCTGACAATATCAACTTTTTTGCTCAAACATATAACATATCTAAAATAGTTTTGTGATTGCTTCACATATACCACTCCAATAAACCAACCTTCTAAAAATAATTCAAAATTTGTTTTCCATTCTTACATTGACTCCAGTAAACCAACCCTCTAAAAATAATTCAACATTTGTTTTCCATTCTTACATTTACTACCCACCTACCCCCAATCCCATCTATGACTGATACAGTCAAATATTATGGTTACCTATATTATTCCTTCTTTATTCCCTTCATTGTGGTTAAGGACATTCATTTCAAATATAACTACTCCTTTGTGTCTATTTGCTTTTCGTTTTAGCAGTTTCCTTAACCCTTCCCATGCTTACTGATTTATTTTTATTTTTGAAAATATGAAACATTGCCATGCTTCCAAAAGACAAAATATGTATTTTTTTAATGTAGTTTAAAAAATGTTACCCCTCCACTTCCCTTCCACCTTGTCCGATGCTATACCACTAAGGGGAAAAAGGTCTCAATTTGTAACATTTGCCACTTTCCATGGTGTAAATACACCCACAGCAGTGGCTAGTTTCACACTACCAACATGACATCAATCAGCTTACAAAACTCCTGGAAAAGTAACTGGCTCTTACAAGCCAATACAAATAAGCTTCAGGATTCCACTCTATCACCTCACCATCTCTTATAGGTAACCAATGTCATTGTTTCTGGTTTATCCTTGCTGTAGTATATGAAGACAAGCAGTTAAGTATATGTTTTACCATTTTCCCTTCTTCCTTCCATAAAAAAAGTGTATATATTCTTTTGTACTTTGTAAATTAGGTAAATATTAACACTACCAAAATAATAATTTATTACTAGAAGTACCAAAGAGTATTCTCAATTTTTTCTAAATACTGTCTTATTGTTTAGATGCTGAGTACAATGTTTATAAAATGATAATTCTCAACCCTGGCTGGACATTAGAATCACTTGAGGAGTTAAAAAAAAAAAAATACTGGTGCCTGGGTTCTATTCTGGCCCAATCTTTGGAAGGAAGAGTAGAAGGGAAAGTTGTCACCTGGGTATCAGAATTTATTTAAATCCTCTAGGTGTTTCTAATATGCACCCAGGATTGAGAACCATTGTTATGAAGGATATATTACATTTTTAAAATTAATAACTGAAGACATAAGACAATTCAACACATTTAGAAAAAATACCAACCAACTCTTTAAATCGATGACTAAAATAAGTGTCCCAGAAACATTTTTCTCTTTTCCTATAAGCCAGAAATTCTGTGTTCTAAGTATACCTTGTTAATTGCATTTTATCTATGATTTTCTATCATGATCAGTAGAATATCTGTTCATATTCAACAAAACAGTAACACTGTCACTAGTAGGCTATCCTGTTTGGTTTTAACTCCTCCATATCTTTCACCCAGAAACCATTATTCTTTTCTCCATCATCCCCGTAAACCAAATTGATATAATGTTTAGTTTCCATTTCTGAAAATATATTTAAAATATGATTGGTGACAAGTGATATAAAGTTAGGGCTATATGTCACATGAATAGAAATAGGATAAAAACTGAGAGTTCTAGTTGTAAAAATTATATTTAAAAAATTAAGGGCACACATACATGCATACACACACATGCACAAGCACACAAAATATCCTGTCCTCCACACATCTATCTTATATAGTACCTTAAGTACCATTAAGTTGCTCAAGGCAGAAACCTGATATTCATTCTTGATTCTTCCCAGTCCCTCACTAAAACATCTAACCGATTAAAAAGTCATGTTAATTATATCTCCAAAATATACCTGCAATTGTCTCCAAGGAGGTGTCTCTTAAGTACAATCAAACCAAAGTAGTCATCTGTAGTCACCTGAAGGTTAATAACCTTCCAAGTTAAATAAGATAATCAGAGCTGTACATGGCTTAGGGGAATAAATATCACAACTACTTTGGTCTGGAGACTGCCACATTATAAAGTTTGCTAGTATTATGATCATCTTTCCTTAGAAATATCTTTGATAACCTCAAGTCCCCTTACTTAGTATATTCCTTGGAGAATGTTTAATGGTTACTGTGAAAGATATTCTATGACTGTTACATCACTAAAGAAGGTCTCAGTGGTAGTTACAGATATGACCTATGGCCAGGCTCCTTGAACACCTTCAGAACCTTTGGGGAAGATATGCATGTCCTCATAAGTTACTTGTTAATAGCCCACATATTCACTGGCAAAAGAGATTTTAAAACAGACTAAAATACACATTTCCTATAAACTGAATTGAACATTCACATATGCAAATTTTTCTTAATAGAAAATGTTTAATAGATGGTTCCAATTCAAACATTCATCTGTTATTGTTAATATTCTAATCTTATTTTACCCATATATTTTGGCAATATGTTTTGACCAACCCTGTCTGTTTCCAATTTACTTAAATACCACCTTTCTTTCATAATCTCCATAAACACCATCGGATTTGCTGGCCTCACACTCAGCCTATTAGACTCTATGTATGAAAATCATGGTAGACCATTACCTGGGAATGAGAAAGAAAAGCAGGAGATGCATAATTAGCGTTTGGTGCCACACATTCTTTCTTTTGAAACTGACTTTTAATGTCATATCTTCCAGGGCCTGGTACTCCCTAAATTACAAAAGGAAAAAATACATATTCTTATTAAGACAAGATCTACAACACATAAGGGAAGATTTAGCTAAATATCTGAACCAAAGCTACAGAGTTTTTAATGAATTCCCATATAATATTATCAAAGAGCTTTATTAAAATGCAAGCCAGAATAAACTTCTTAACAGCAGCAAAAATGAAAATTTTCCTTAGCAAAGCTTCCCTTGAACCTGAGAACTCACTCTACCTGTGACTTTGCTGCCCTCTACTGATAAAGCTCAGAAAAAATAATCTAGCTCTTCAGATGGTTAAATATTAAAATGAATAAAAATGACTTCTATAGTGCTTCCATTTAAAAGTATGCAACTAGCTTTCTCTAAAACTGCATTTTACTGTCTTTTTAAATTTCTTTTAATCAATAGCCTACTATTTTTTCCAACAATAGGCTTTAGGAAGTATTTCAACTACAAATGTTACGTTTATAAAGACATTTAGCTTATAAGACATTAAAGCTTTATAAGACATTAAAAATAATTAATTAAGTAAACCCTGAGAATCAGCTCTTTATCATTTTAGTAATACAGATTAAATATTTAATATATATCAAAAACTTCTCTTTATTCATCAAATATTTTAATTACCTTGATAAAGTACCTTGCATAGTAAAAAATAATAAAGTTAAATTTAAGTCTTATGCTTCATATATACTTCAACCATATCTTCTCTGGAGAACTGTCTATCCAAGTCCTTTGCCTATTTTTTAACTGGGTTATCTTTTTAATTGGGTTAATTGGGTTATCAGAGCACATTTTAAGAAGATAAATCTAACTGCCTATGAAGAATAAAGAAGAGAGTAAGATTGGAAGTGGAGATATTTCAAAAATCCAAGCAAAAAACAATGCTTTCTTTGACTAGAGAGTAGACAGGTAATGATAATACAATAATTAGAATAACAACAAGTCAAGATAGATTGTCTACAAAGGTGGCCACCAAATATTCCTCCTATCTCTATAATCCCATGCTTCCGTCAGAAGATGGAGTTCATTTCACAGTCCTTGAATCTGAGCTTCTTGTGTCTTGGTTTGACAAAGAGAATACAGTAGAAATTATATAATGCTACTTCTGAGCCTAGGCCATATTTGCACTCTTGAAGCCCCGAGCCTCCATGCAAGAAGTACAACTACCCGGAAACAAAGTGAGACCCAGCTAGCTCCTAATCATTACAACTAACTCATCTGAGATGTTGTACATGCAAATATTTGGATATTCCAGCCCATCCCAAAATCAAAGCAGCCAAATGAGTGACCTCAGCTGATACCACATGGATCAGAAACACTGCCTAAGCAAACCCAGTGAATCCAGACAATTGTTGTACTGCAAAGGTTAATTCCTATAAGCTTGGAATTAGCATAAGCCATTTTGCTAAAGTATCTATTAATATAAGGCATTGTATCAAAAAAACCCTGGTCAAGGCATGAAACTACTAATTAATAGTCTTGCTTTGTAATTATGGGTCCCATGAACTTCAAAGTGGTTTGTGTCAGCTTGTTAACACTGTTAATTGATAAAAGTGAAATGGATGATTTGTATCTGGTCTCAGTGAGACCAGTAGGCTCTACTGTTGGTGCTGGTTATATAATAATATGCCTACCTGTCCAGCAGAGTATAAGAAACCCTGGAAAGACTCCATTTTGTGCTCCCTGGCTCTGAGGTGTTTCATGCATATGTCACTGGTTCCTAATCCAAGAAAGAAAGCATGTCCTGCTAAGGCCTTAGAGAAGGAAGATAAGTAAAGTTTACTCCTGGCCTCTCTGAAACCCTTGCAATCTTTGGCTATGAAGAATATCTTTACTTTCATGCTGTTGCTATTTGTATTCTTTTTTTTGCAATAAACTACAGATATAAGCATTGTCATTTTGCATTACTAATCAAATCCTGTCTGCCACTGTTATGCAATCTTCTTTAGAAATCAAACCTTGTCTGCCACTATTAGTGCAATCACAGAAAATAACAAATTTTTGTTGTTTCAAGGCACTATGTTTTGGGGTGACTGGCTGTGCAGAAACAAATAACTGAAACAACAGCTAAATTCACTAAGTACCTATTTGACAGGCACTATTTCAATCCACAGAACTAAAAAAAATGTGACACAAAGAAATTAAATTATTTCCAAAAGTAACATTTCTTGTAAATAGTTGAGACAGATATTATTGGCTGCTAGCACAGTCCCAATTACAACCTCCTTTCTCCTGTTAGGGGTGGCTGTGTGACACAGTCCTGGTTAATGAATGTAAGCAATTATCAAATAGAAACAACAGAAACAAGGGCAAGGTTAGGGGAAAGACTAGTTCAATTTTGAAATGTTAGTTTTGTATCCTTGCTGAGTGGGAAAAAATTAAAAGAAAAAAAAAGAAACGTTAGTTGTGTATTTTCTGTAAAACATCAAGGTGCAGATGTCATATAGACAATAATTCATGGAGGACTGGAGCTCAATAAAGAGGTCAGAGCTACAAATACATACTGGAAGTGATCTCTGTATTTGGAAGTGGTCAGTACATATGTGGCCATGAAACTAAATGTTGTTTCTAGGGAAATTGTGTAGAAAAAGAAGAGACAAGAGCTAAAAATATTATGTAATATTTATGTGATTCTCAGTGTTATATTAATTTTAATACTATATTGTTAATATCATTCATCTCTTCTAAATGGCCCATATGACTCTATGAATCATTCTAATCTTTAGATTGGAATATCAGACTGATAATTATTCCATTTTCCAGAGCTAATTAAAATGCATCTATTCTAATTCCTAAACACAAGAAGACATTCAGCATCTTTTTCTGTTATGTCATCTTATAATACGGAGGAAAAAAATTATAAGCAATTTAAAATGATAGTCTGCATCTTATAATGCTTATATCAACCTAATTTTTGCCAAATGCTTATACTTGACACTATCTCCTCAATCAAAGAAAATACCTCTTTTATTTTAAATTGAAATTTATTTTTAAAATATGTCCCAGATACAGTTAACTCTTTAAGTGACTTAATGCTTATGATTGATTGAATGGTATAATATATAACTGAAATATATAATTTGATTCGGGACTGTAGAAAAGAACATGTGTCTATTACATTCATTTGCATAATTGCAACATAAATTTTGATTCATTTAGAAAACATAATGCATCTTTGTTTCTGATCTAAGGACACAAATATGCTCTATGTGGTTTTCGTAACTAATTAAATTTAAACAGAACGAAATCAAATAAACATGGTAAAAAAACTCTAAGTGAACAAAAACAATTTGAAAAGTAACTGTATCAGTTAATAATAGCATTGTAAGTGTCACTGGGTCTCTCACATGCAGCACTTAGATTATACGCCATTCAAATGAGAAAATTTAATCAGTGACAGGAAGTACTTTGTAGGATAAATCATATACATTAATAGTTAGTTGACCAAATGTTTAGTAACAGAAAAAAATATAATTTATCCATGTAAATCTAGGCAAGTAAATCAGGAGAAGTGGAATTTAAATGTAAGCTACTAGGTTTGACTATATATCAGTATTGCTTTGGAGTACAGGATTGTCTTATGCAGTTTCAACCAAAAATGAAATTGAGTAAAATTGATGAAAAGCTACTTAGATTCCATAATACATCTGCTGAATAACAGTTCATGGCAACACTGGCCTTAGTCAAAAATGTAATATACCAAGTCTAAAGTCATACTGCCAAGTTCTGAGATAAAGTAAATATAAGTAAATGTGGCCATGCTTAAAATCTTAGCACAATTATCAAGAATTACATAATATTTTTGCACTCAAAATTTTTCTCCAAGAGGAAACATATACAAATAGTTTATAGAGTTTTCCTGTAGGTATTATATCCTATGTGGTATATTATCTAGTAGCAGTCAAGATTTATAATGCTTATTTTGGTATATTAGTGCCATGTAAATGCTCAGAGTTCATTAACATTTATTACTGTGCAATGCAACATGAACTTCCACATAGAGTTACTTGTATGAGAATATTCTTCATGCTCTTTAAAAACCCAAAGTCCTCTTTTAAAAGAGAAAATAAACATTATCATTTAACAAATAATACACAATTAAACACATCCAAATAAAATAGTTTTAAGGGTTACAAATCTTAAATGAAGCTAAAAGACCCATATAAAATTAATTAATATTACACTCACAAACATAGAGAATTCAAATGCCTACTGGGGTGAGGAGGGCAAATAAGTGCTGAATGGAAAATGGTGGACTGGAAATCACTCACCCTCACCCCCCAGGGTCTGCATTTAATCATTCCCAAATGATTGTGGTTAGATTTTTTTTCACTTTTAAGAAAAGCTGAAAAGCTGAATTTGTATATGAAATCCCATATGTTACAAACATTGGCAACTAATTCAATTTTTAAAAACTATGAATAGGCCATAAAAATTCATTTATGGATTAAACTCAGTGGATAGGCCACTATATTCCACAATCTGCTATTTAATATTTTAGTCTAAGTATAAATATATAAAAAAAATACCTCCATGTATAAATTCCTGCATATTAGCTACAGATCTTATTAAATCAAAGTCTAAAAGAGGTTCAATAAATGAGTTGGAGTTTTCTATGCCTAGTTATAGTATTACCATGATGAAATTATAATGTTCTATCTAAAAGTGGTCAGCAGAAACTCAATCTGATGTATCCCTGCTACACACAGTGATGGTTCTGAAACTAGGATTGAGCAGGTCTGAAGTAATCTCTGAAATGCTGTGTAGGAAAAAGCCCAATTACTTATATTTACTTTAACTATTAATGATTATTTTGCAGTGATAATATGACATCACTGCAAGTTAGTCACATCAAACATTGCCTGATACCATGAAGAGGCTGATTTTTGTCTTCACGATTCTCATTATTGTGAGACAGAATATCTAACTTCCTATTATATTCACAAGTTAGTGAACACAATAAATTAGAATTTTCTACATCTTCTCCTCTATGAAGTGTAT